AATTGTTTAATTAAAATGAGTGGAAACATATTTCGTTTCTTTTTTGCCTCCATGTAACATTTTACATAGCATATATTTATTATACTTTAATGACCAACTAAACACAATTCGAAAGTTCAGGACTCAGAAGTCAATTGAATGTTATTTTCCATGAGAAAATTAGAATTATAATTAATTAGAATTTCCTAAACAGTGTGGTAATAAAACAGTAGCAAAGAGCCATTTTAGGAGTACTTGTTCCAGGTGTGGTGGCACACAGCTGTAATCCCAGCAATCTGGGAGGCTGAGGTAGGAGGATCACAAGTTCAAGGCCAGCCTCAGCAGTTTAGTGAGGCCCTTAGCAAGATGGTGAGTCACTGTCTTAAAATAAAAAAATTAAAAAGGCTCGGGATGTAGCTCAGTGGGTTCAATGCTTCCCAGTACCTAAAAAAAAAAAAAAAGGTTCTTAGGAGGTAACAGCATAATGCATAGTGCATAGCTGGGTGCAGTGGCACACCCCTGTAATCAATCCCAGGTGCTAGGGAGGCTGAGACAGGATAATTGCAAGTTCAAATCCAGCTTCAGCAACAGTGAGGCACTAAGCAACTTAGTGAGACCCTATATCTAAATAAAATACAAAATGGGGCTGGGGATGTGGCTTAGAGGTTGAGTGCCCCTGAGTTCAATCCCCAGTACATGCCCTCCCCCACAAAAAAAAGTACAAATTCTGACTTTTGGTGCCTTGGGTTCTGGCTCTAGAACTTACTAGCTCTGAAACCTTGAATATATTTTTTAATGATTCTGTACCTTAGTTTTTCACATGTGGGTTGAGGGTGAAAGAATATCTACCTTAACAGTTGTGCAGATTGAATTAGTTACCCTTTCTAAGACACATCAAATAAATACATGTTACATAACAAGATTTAATAAACCATTATTAAAACTGGTTATCCAAGAAGAGAAATCTTCACTTTCTTATTGTGTTCAAGTGATAATTTAAGTGAAATAATTCTAAAGAATTTATTACTAAACAGTTATGGGACACATTGGTTTGACCAGAAACTTTGGTCTCTCTAGAAAGTGAGGCCTCCTCAAAGATTTGTACCAGGGGCTAGGGGTGTAGTTCAGTGGTACAGTACCTAAGGCCCTTGGTTGGATTTCCAGGACCACCAGAAAAGAAAAAAAGAAAAAGAAAAAATTTGTATAAGGACTAAAAAGAGAATGATCTCTTAAAATTCATAGTTGCCCTGGCAAAGAGCCACAGCCAAAAAATCAGGTTCATGAAAGTTTTAATCCTTTGGATTTCGGTATCTTTTTTTCAGTGCTGGGGAGCAAACCTAGGGTCTCAAGCATGTTGGAAAGCACTGTTATATCCTCTGCCAGGTTTCAATTTCTTTGGGGGAGATCTATAGGAATTATTTACTTATTTATTGCAGTACTGCCATTGGATTCAGGGCCTTGAACATGTTGGGCAAGTGTTCTACTTCTGAACTATATCTCCAACCTTTTTTATCATTTAAAAAAAATATATCTTTTAGTTGTTGATGAAACTTTTTAAAAATTATTTATGTATGGTGCTGAGGTTTGAACCCAGTGCCTTACACATGCTAGGCAAGTGCTCTACCACTGAGCCACAACCCCAGCCCCCTTTTGAATTTTTTAAAAATTTGAGGCAAGGTCTTGTTAATTTGCCCAGGCTGGTCTTAAACTTGCGATCCATCTGCCTCAGTTTCCCGAGTAGCTAGGATTACAGCCACCTCATCCAGCAGCAATAAATTTTTGAAGTTCATGCATTTGTATTTATTAATTCATTCAGTTATTGAATAAACATTTTTGTGGTAGTTGCTAGGGATATAGAAATTAAAGATTCTGTTCCTGTCTTCAACTAACTCATGGTCTCTAACTCAGGTGAGAAGTGGAAGGTAATGAATGCAAGACAGAGAGACTGGGGATGTAGCTCGCTGGTAAGTGCCCAGCATGCACGGACACACAGGCATAAGAAAGCATAAAATATTCAGGGAACAATATTTCAGAATTATTTAACATGGGGTGAAAATAACTGGATGCAGGACAGTGGTAAGAGAGGGAGACAGGATGGGGACGCTGCACAGGAGACCTTAATAGCACCTGCCTTCTCTTACTGCTTGGGGGCGCATAGCTCAGTGGTAGAGCTGGTACCAGAAGAAAAAAAAAATTCTATTTTGAGACAGGTTCTCTCTAAATTGTCTAGGCTGGCCTTGAAATTGGACTCCTGCCTCAGCCTTCCAAGTAGCCCAGATTACAGGTGTGCACCCACAGGCCCGTCTCCTTGCTTGTCTGAAGTGAATTGGGGTTAGGATTGTGGCAGTAGAACAAGGAAGAATGGGTGGGAGAATTCAGAGAAGGAAAACTCAGAAGATAACACTAATTTGGGAGGACTGCAGAAGGACAGCACTCTCAATGATTATTTGAACACAGCATTTTGAAAATAGGATCTGTGTCTTATTATTGGTTTATCTCCAAGAACCTAACACAGTTACCAGGTGAATAAATCAAAGTACTCTCTGTAAATGAGGGAGTTAAGAAGATGGCCTGTAATCCTCTTCTAGCTCTACCGTCCTATTAATCCATTTCTTTTTTTTTTTTTTTTTGTGTGTGGTTACTATGGATTGCACCAAGGGCTGTGGACACTAAGTTACATCCTCAATCTTTTTTCTTTCCATTTCTTTCTTTCTTTCTTTCTTTTTTTTTTTGTGTGTATGTACTGTGGTACTAGGGATTTAACTGAGGGGTGCTCTACATTGAGCCATACTCCCAACCCCCTTTATTAAATTTTTATTTTGAGACAGAGTCTTACTAAATTGCCAGGCTGGCTTCCAATTTATAATCCTCCTGCTTCAACCTCCGGAGTAGCTGGGATTAGTGGTATGCACCACTAGATTTGTGAGTTCAAATGAAACAGCTGAATTTTTCCTAGTTCCAAACTCTTTCAAATCTATCCTCTTCTTTCGGTCTTCTGGAACCATTGTCCTGGATCAGGCATTCTTTCTTCTTACCTGATTACTTCACTCACCTAATTATTTACCTGGCTTTCAGTCTCTGGTCTCTGGCAATTCATCTTTGATTTCCTTCCCAGTTTTTTTTTTTTCCTTTTGGTACCAGGGATTGAACCCAGGGGTGCTTTGCCACTGAGCTACATCCCCAGCCTTTTTTATTTTTTTATTTTGAGACAGGGTCTCACTAAGTCTGAGGCTGGTCTTGAACTTGCAATCCTCCTGCTTCAGTGTCCCAAGTCGCTAGGTTTACAGCTGTTTACCACTGCACCAGGTTCCAGTTACCTTTTTTTTTTTTTTTTTTCCTTCTTCCAATTGTCTTTCTAAATTACAGTTCTGATGGGATTTCTCCCTAGCTTAAAAAGTCTTTCTGGGCTCCCACTACCTACAAAGTGAACTCCCTAGCTTGGCAGTCAAAGCTTTCCAACATAGTTTCATCACCCCCTTTCTAACCTGTTTCCCAATTACCTGTCCTACTTTGATTTCTAGGTGTGTGTGTGTGTGTGTGTGTGTGTGTGTGTTAACCAAATATATTTTTGCACATTCCTATCCCCTGTCTTTGTTCATTTTCTCTTCCTAAAATGGACTTCTTCACCTATTCATATCTTTCTCTTTAATTACAAACAAGCTCAATAGGATCACCTCTTAACACCTTTCTTATTTTATTTTTTGGTACTGGGGATTGAACCCAGGGCTGCTTAACCACGGAGCCACAACCCCAGCCCTTTTTATTTTGACACAGGGTCTGGGTAAATTGCTTAGAGCCTCACTAAATTGCTGAGGCTGGCCTTGAATTTGAGATCCTCCTGGGATTACAGAGGTAGGACACTGCCCAGGCTTTAACACCTTTCTTGTTGTCCCTGATCATACTTGTTCTGTTTTTCCCCCAGCGAATGCTGTTTGTCTCTATTTTACATCTGAGCTATACTCCAGAGGTGGTCTTGTCCATCTCTTCTTTATATTGTAAGCAACTTGAGAATCGGGATGATGATTTCTCTTTCTCTGGCCACAGCCCAGCAACTGGAGTAGGAGGAAGAGAGTAACATTCCCTGGGAAATGAAAATATTTCTAATGAAGTAAAGGCGTGGGACATTTTCCAGCCAGTTTCTTGGAAGTGGTTTGAATTTTTAAATTATAGACATTGACCTTGCCTGAAATAATTTCCTGGAATTAGATTTCAGAGAGCTTAGAATAAAATCTATTCTATTTAGAAGTCAAGTTTGTAACATATCTTATCAAACTCAAAATTCATATACTGTATTCACCTATTAATTATATTTCTTCTGTGCTAACGTCATAGCTATTATAATTTATTACAAGGATATTTTAAATGTAAGTTAAGAATACCTGTGCTCCCTTAATATATACCCAAATATTTGATAAATGACACAATATTTTGAATTTGGGCAATTAGGTTTTCTTTTGCAGACCACAACTGTTAATTTGACCAGTTATACATCCTGGGTCTGTCCTGATATCGCCATCTAATCTTGCCACTGCTGGTCAATTGGCACGTGGCTTTCCTGACATCAACCTTCTCAGACAGCTCTGTAATTACTTGCTAATGACTTGAGTCGAACGATTCCGGGCGCATGGTGGTTATTTCGCCTCCATTCATCATCCACCATTTGATTCAGTGCCAACAGGATGTCCGGCTGCTTGGTCACCAGCACTGCCAAAGATGGCATCAGGATCGTGGCCTCTCTAAGCCAATGTCTGGCAGAGGGAAGCCGGGAACACCAGCCTGCAGGGAACGAGGGCTGAAGATGGAGAAGGGGGACCCGCCCCGCCCGCAGAACGCCGCGACGCCTGGTGGTGGGTACTAGGGGAACCTCACAGATGCAGCCGGCTGAGTCGAGCTGCTGGCCTGGCCGCCCGCTGCGCTCGGGCGGACCCGCCAGGCCCGGCACGCTCCCGGAGCGCGGCAGGGGGCGGGGCGCGGCGCGCGCGCGCGGAGGTGGCGGAGCGCGCGCAGCGAGGGAGGGGCGCGTGGCGGCCGCTGCGGCCTGTGGCGCCGTCACCGGCAGACTCCAGCGCGTCTAGCAAGGCGCTGCTGCCGCTGGCTGGGCGCGCGGAGACGGTTCGCAGCGCTGGGGCTCGGCTCGCCCTCCAGGTCCCGTTATCATGTCGCTGAGGCAGCACCTAGCCCAGCTGGCTGCCTGTCTGCAGGAGCCGCAGAAAGTGGCCCGTTTCCAGCGTCTGTGCGGGGTGGAGGCGCCGCCGAACCGCTCAGCCGACCGGAGGGAGGATGAGAAGGTGGAAGCGCCGCTCGCCGGAGATCCCCGGCGGCGAGGGCGGCAGTCAGGGGCGACCGAGGGCCCCCAGCCGCCCGGGAGCGACCGCAATCAGTGCTCAGTCAAGCCGGACGGCAGCGGCGCCCCCAACGGCGTGCGGAACGGGCTGGCGGCCGAGCTGGGCCCGGCCTCGTCGCAGCGCGCGGGCTCCTTGCGACGCAACTCGCTGACGGGCGAGGAGGGCGAGCTGGCCCGCGTGAGCAACTGGCCGCTCTACTACCTGTTCTGCTTCGGCACGGAGTTGGGCAACGAACTCTTTTACATCATGTTCTTCCCTTTCTGGATCTGGAACCTGGACCCCCTGGTGGGTCGCAGGCTGGTGATCATCTGGGTGCTGGTCATGTACCTGGGCCAGTGCACCAAAGACATCATCCGCTGGCCGCGACCCTCCTCGCCGCCCGTGGTCAAGTTGGAGGTCTTCTACAACTCCGAGTACAGCATGCCCTCCACCCACGCCATGTCTGGCACCGCCATACCCATTGCTATGGTCCTCCTCACCTATGGCCGCTGGCAGGTAAGCCTCTCTCTGCTCGCCCCGCTCAACCTCGGGGGCGTCAAAGAACTCTATGCTCTTTACAGCTGTTTTAATTTGGCCATTTCCCTCCCAAACTTCTTTTTGCATAGGTTTTCACAGTACCGGTAAAGAGGCCCTTTTTCCGTTAAAAAAAAAAAAAGTGTTGGGGGGAAACCTAGAAAACTTAGCCAGTTAAATTACATTTTAATCGCGTACTTTTCACGCAAAGTGTAAATATTACATGCAGTCATATATTATCATCGGGCTTTGGCTGAGTTTTCAAATTGTTTTAATTCTTGGGATGCATCGTGGAAGTGGATTTTCTTAATTGATCACTTAGTAACTGAGACCAAATTTCACTGTAATATATGGTGACTTACCCCATACTGATTCTGCTTCCGACACAGGTAAAAAGTCGTTCACTCTCTTGTGAGATGGTGTTTACAAAACCGTGGTATAGTTCCGAAACAAACATGCTCATGCTAGTTCCAAGCAATAAAGTAACACATTTTAAACGAGAGCGGCTATTTATGCAAGTTAATGGAGCAGAGTCTGAGTTCTGTTTTTAAGGGACGCGGTTGCTAATTTGCTGATAGACAGCGTTTAATTACCTTCTGGCTCACTGATCTGTAGAATCAAGTTTGTGAGCTGTTACAGTACTATTGTCACGTTAACTGTAAAAATACATGTTTTAAAAGTTATTCTTGAAGCTAGGGTTCTCAGACTAATGGGTTTGTAAAAATGGTGAATATGACAGTAGGGTCAGACTGAGAGCCAGGGATGAGTTTTTAAAAATCATTTTTATCTTGCCTACTTCCTTTGACCTACCAGTTTTGAGTTCTTTATGGTCCATAAATGTTATTGGTTTAAAAACTAGTTAGCTTTCATATAGAAGAAATGTTTATTCTTCAATTACTGGGCTTGTTTTTATCTGTCTTAAATTATATGATTTGTTAGTCTTGCAGACCAGTCCCTTAAGAATAAAGCAGAGGTCTGGGGTTGGGGGCTTAGTGGTAGAGTGCTTGCCTAGCCTGTGTGAGGCACTGGGCTCGATTCTCAGCACCACATACATATAAATAAAATAAAGGTCCATCAACAACTTAAAAAAAAATTAAAAAAAGGATAAAGCACATAATTATGAAGAATCTAAGGAAGCAGATTTCCTGCATATTTTTAAATGCACAAGATCGTCTTACATTGAGAAATAACACATTCTATGTAAAACTCCAGAATAATAAGCTATAATAAGCTTACTTAGCCCCCACGCAACTTCAGTATAGGTAAAATCTTGTCCCCATGGATAGCTCTGTATAGTGTTTCTCTTATTGGAACATACAGAATATGTGATGTGGGTATTAAGAATGGCAGATTTATTTGGGCTGGGGTTGTGGCTCAGGGGTAAAGTGCTTGCTTAGCATGTATGAGGCACTGGGTTCCATCCTCAGCACCACATAAAAATAAATAAATAAAGTTATAAAAACAAAAAAGAATGGCAGAATTAGGAGGGGATAGTACCATACAAAGTTTCTTCCTATGTAACCAAAGGGAATACACAGTGACATTCAGATTATAAACCAGTGCTGCCTGTTTTGCACAGTAGATAAATACCTCAAAATTTTCATTTAATCTGAATATTTCAGAATTTAAGATTGCCAGTGAGTTGTATTTAGTGTGATATTTACTGACTAGATGATAAAACGTCTCTTATTTTCACAAGACTCTCAGCATTCTAAGGTTGGGAGGCCTTTTGTAATGTCTCCTCAGTGAGTAGTTTTGTCATATGCTATTAATATTAGAAATTGAAGAGAAAATAGCTGTTTTTGCTCTTCATTTATTAAGGAACATGCTAACAGGAAGTCTGAAAATACTACTTCTGAATTGTTTATGGGCTGTAGATAGCATTTTAGGATTATTTGAACTATTAGAACAAGTTTACATTATAGATTTTGAACAACCTAGTATATATAATTCAGTGTTTGGGGAATTTTGTAAATACGGTTTTAGAAATTTGAGCTAACAAAAATGTTAAGAATCACCTACTCTTAAACATGTCCTTTTACAGATGTGGAAAGTGACCAATCACATCAGAATTAATCTTGTAATTGTTTGTTTGTTTATTTTTTGTTACTGGTAATTGAAGCTAGGAGTGCTTTATCACTAAGCCATATCCTTAGCCTTTTTTATTTTTCATTTTGAGATAGATCTTTCTAAATTGCTGAGGCTGATTTTGAATTTGCCAGCCTCCTGCCTCAGCTCCAGTCACTGGGATTACAGGCATACACTACTGTACCAGCTAATCTTATAATGGTTTAAATTTAGTATTTTATGTATCTTTCCTCTAAATTTGAGTAAACTCCTAAATTTGTATAATTGTTTTTGGGGAAAAAAATCCCTTACATAAAAGTTCTTTCTTTACAAATGTTTGACTATAATAATTCAGTATAAAAATCAAAATGACTTTTTTTTTGTTACCTTTTAATTTTTCCTTGAATCCTTTTTATGTATTTCAAACAAAAGTTATCTTCGTTTGCTCAAGTTGTTTTCTGTCGGTGAGTATTGTACTGCATTGTAGGCTGCTATTTCCAGAGTAGATAAAAAAAAAAGAGAGAGAGAGAGAGAGACACTGGGAGAAGAATTAAACAATGAAAACCTGGTGTTTTTCTCATTAGCATCAGTTTTGGTAGATAGTCTTGTCCATTTATATGACCCAAATGCTTGCTTGGAAGAGATCTGGACTTCTTTATATGTCTGTGATGCTGAAATGCCTCTCACCTGAATTAGCTCATGTACCTTTCTTTTGGCTGGGCATGACTACTTCACTTACCCTCCTTGAAATTTGCTCAAGACTCATCTCATATATGGAGTCTTAAATTACTCCTTTGTGTTTCATTATTCTTCATTTGTTCTTTTTTTATTTTTAAAAATCTTTATTTTGTTATTTATTTATGCTCTTAATTTATTCTTAAAGTGACAGTATATAAAAACAAATTAGCAGAAGTACAGATTTCTACAATTTACTCCCAGAGGTTGTGATCCATTACATAAATGAGGAACATTCAGGAACTGGAGTAAGTTCCCCAAAGATTAATATGAGCTCCTTAGAATATATTTTATATTTCTCCAAAATAATCTTTTCTTAAAAAGATTGCTGTCTCAGCCTCTTTGCAATTCCAATCTTCAAGTCTTTGTAAGGTATATTGGAATAGTATAGCTACAAGCAGTTGCTTGAAAGCCTTTTTTGAGGGCTGGAAATGGAGCTCAAGAAGAGCCCTGGTGCCACATGTAAAAGGCAGATGGGTTTGGTCCCCAGCATTGGAAAACAAACAAACAAACAAAAAACCCCCAAACAAAAAACCTTATCTATCTTTTATGATGACATGAAATAGAAAACGATATGGTTGGGCTGGGGATGTGGCTCAAGCGGTAGCGCACTCGCCTGGCATGTGTGCGGCCCGGGTTGGATCCTCAGCACCACATACAAACAAAGATGTTGTGTCCGCCGATAACTAAAAAATAAATATTAAAAAATTCTCTCTCTCTCTCTCTCTCTCTCTCCCCCCACCTCCTTCTCTCTTTAAAAAAAAAAAAAGAAAACGATATGGCATTCCCATGAGGATTAAATAATTTACGGTCCATTGGCCAATATAATTATTATTGCTCTCATTTTATTTGGAAGTTTTTGTAGCTTGAACTGGGAGAAAATTAAGAAATAAGGAGGGGCTGGGGTTGTAGCTCAGTGGTAGAGCGCTTGCCTGAGGCACTAGGTTCGATCCTCAGCACCACATAAGAATAAATAAATAAATAAAGTTATTGTGTTCATCTACAACTAAAAAATAATTTTAAAAAAGAAATATGGAACATCCCATATAAAGAACATAATCCTATTTTTAAAAATCTAAAATAAATGAAGCAATTTCTTTTGCATTTATGTTTGCATTTTTTTTTTAATTTTATTTTTTAGTTGCAGTTGGACACAATACCTTTATTTTATGTGCAGGGTGAGCGCTCTACAGCTGAGTCACAACCCCAGCCCTGCATGTTTTTTTCAGAAATAATTTGTTGTTATTGTTGTTATGCCCTTGGGCATGCTAAGCAAGAGCTCTACACTAAGTTACACTACCATCCCCAAATTCTTAATTTTTAAATAATATGGCATAAAACAGGTTCTAAGTATATACTTGCTTTAATAATGTTTTAGTTGAAGTTTATCTTAAAGTATACTTTTTCTAATAATAATAGGTACATGTTATTATTAATATTTATTTATTTTAAAAATATTTTTTAGTTGTCAATGGTCCTTTATTTTATTTATTTACATGTGGTGTTCAGAATCAAACCCAGTGCCTCACACATATAGGTAAGCACTCTCCCACCAAACCACAACTCCAGCCCCTTATTAATATTTATTAAGGACTTACTGTGGATGAGACATTGTTTGAAATATCCATTACCTCATTTAACTTATTTTTGTAATATTCCAGTTTAGTCCTGTTATTAACTCAAGTTTATGGATGAGGTACCAAGGACTTTATGTAATTAAAAATTAACACAGGTAATAATGGCAGAGGCTGGATTGAAATGTAGACACTTTGAATCAAGGTCTTACACAGAAAACTCATTTCAAGTCATACTCTGTGTATAATTTTTATAGCATCTTTGTAAAAATAAATGCTATTTTTGAAATAACAATTAGGTTCTTAAAAAATAAGAACAGCTTTGTATGCCTTGAAAAGATAACTTGTGTTTGTATATGTACATATGTATGGAGTATCCACAAATATTTGTGTGTCCTTTTGTTTTTGTTTTGAGATGGGGGTCTTACTGTTTTGCCCAGGTTGGTCTCAAATTGGTGGGCTCAAGAGAGATCCTCCCTCTTCAGCCTCCCAAGTAGGATTACAGGTGCAGGGTACTGTACCTGGCTTCAAATATTTGTGCCTTAAATGTGTTAAATGTTGACTTCTCCCCTGCCTTCCCTCTATTTACCTAGTATAAATAAAAAA